AGGCCATAAGCTGAAGAAATCACTCACGTTATTACACTTTGACTTATATATTTCCTACCTGACACAATGAGCTACTCTACTTATAATTACATTTATAGAGGTGATAGTTCATTCTGATAGATATTTCCTACCTGACAGAATGAGCTACTCTACTTATAATTACATTTATAGAGGTAATAGTTCATTCTGATAGATATTTCCGACCTGACAGAATGAGCTACTCTACTTATAATTACATTTATAGAGGTGATAGTTCATTCTGATAGATATTTCCTACCTGACAGAATGAGCTACTCTACTTATAATTTATAGAGGCTGTATGTCTGCTTCTCACACATATCTGACCTGAGTAGCTACTAAACAATGTTTTTTGCTAGGGTAGGTCATTACGAGTGAGAGGCTTAGTTCATCAGACTAGGAGTGGGTAGCGCAAACTTTCAGAACACCGGCGCTGATCTCCTCTACACACATCTACACACACACCGATGCGACACGGTAATCGGTGAACAGACGAGCGGCCGAGGTGGAAACAAAGTGAAGACAACTCAAAAATGATTCAAGTTGACAGCAGCTACACTCTTTACTGTAAGTGACATAAACCCTTAAGAAGCCAATACTTTATCAATACATGTGTTCAGCAAGCATGAACATGTAGACAGTGATGTAGACAGTGATATTCAATATGCTCTGCCCACAGTCTCTCATCCACCGACACTAACGTTATGTCTTACACAAGGACAGCACGCTAGTTCAGCTGATAGCGAATTATCACTAATAAGGTCGAATGACAGCTGTCTATATGTAGACTAACTTAGTTTGACACTTATCTTAAAATACTTTTAAACTTTGCTGCTGGCTGAGACAAACAGCCCCAACTCTCTACACCAGCATGTAACCAGCCGGGCTGGCAGAGGATACAGGGCACACGCCGAATCATCTACGTCATCACGCTAATTTGAATACATTTTCCAGAACTTGAAGTGAGGTGGAAACACAAACCACACCAAACCAGGTTCATTAAGCAGGTTGAGCCAGTGCAGAAGGCTATGTTATGTACAGTATCAGTAGGCTAAGCGTGACAGTAGTATAAACCATGTATCATACAGTGTGAATATGAGAGTTAACAACACTAAAGTGACAGTGAGGTCATTTCCTTAAAATTTTGGAGGAAGTGTACCTGGGAACTTTGGTGGAAATCAGGGCCCGTATTCACAAAGAATCCTAAGACTAAAAGTAGCTCTTAGTGATGTCATTCTAAGAAAAATCTTAGAATTCCTCGAATTCTAAGATTTTTCTTAGAATTTTCCCTCAGTAAGATAAAAGTTATTCACAAAGCATCTTAGGCCTTAAGAGAGCTCCTAAGGTGAAAAACTGTTAAGAGGAGGGAGGAGGACTTTTAAGAAGCCTAAGAGTGTCTTAAACAGAGAAGATGGTGGAAAGACAGAGAGGAAGGAGAGATATTCTCCATATATTGAACGACAGTGATTTAATAAGACGCTACCGGCTCGATAGTGCAGGGATAATGTTTGTGGTTGACCTCATCAGGGATGAACTTACTTTTCCCACCCAGCGTAGTAACGCAATAACGCCCGTTTTGGATTGCAGCATGTACCAGCGCTTCTCACACTCATCGCTTGTGCGTAAAAGGAGAGGGAATGACGCATTGATGTGTTGGGCAATGCGCTCCCAAGTCTGCCTCTTCCTTGTGCCGTGATCCCGGGACCGAATTTCCCTCTTAAAACTCCTTTGTTCTCCTCCACGAGCTGCGCCAACAGCAGGCACTGCTCTTCTGTCCAGTTCAGCTTTCTCGTTCTTTTTTTCTCCATTTCATTCGTTGTTTTGGTCATTCTGCCAAATCAAACCGCTTTTTACAAGGAGGCCAGCAATCACAGTAACTGCTGACAGCTGAGTCTGCGTCCACCATTTATATCAAACAGATTAAGTAGTAAAATTACCAGCATGGCGAGTAAACATAACAATAAGCAAATCAATATGATAATTGGCATGTGAATAAGGTACGTTCAAACATTTTGAAGCTGTGTAACAATTAATTTAATTTTGCTGTTTCATCATCAGGACATAAAATTATTTTCACGATTACACATTTCTTAATACAGTCTAAGTTCTATGATCGGTTGATTTCACTGTCCATTCATTACTAGGAGCGCATTTGTTGTTCTTTTTTTTTTTTTTTTCCTCCTCCAACCAATCACAGCTTTTAGAAGATTGCGTCATACCTAGCAACGGGGTCACCCACACCTCCTCACTAAGATAAAAGTTTCTGTTCCCTCCTTGCTCAGAGTTGCTCTCAGAAACTTCCTGAATCACTCTTAAGCTAAGATTCCTTGCTAGGAATTTTTAGGCTAAGTTAGGAGCTCTCTGAGAGGACTCTGAGAATCTTTGTGAATACGAGCCCTGGTGTTGAAATAATCTTCCTGTGAGGTGATCAGTGACTATACCAACATACATTTTGAAATGTACGCCTTGGCTTCAGTATGTCATATTCTGTGGTGGACAACAAACGGAAACAGAACAAGACAACAGAAACAAGTGTGTGATTGACAGATGCGAAAACTGTATAATACAATAAGAAAAAAACATATAACACTTCATCATCAATACTTCAAACAGGAAAAGAATCCAGGCACTCCAAACAAAAATGAGAATGAGGAAGGAAAGATTAGATTAAAAAGCCTTTAATATAATGGCCAACTCTGTTTCTCCAGCCCTGATGAAGACCAACAGTGGTCGAAACATGTTGGCTTTTTAATGAGTTGGCCATTATATTAAAGGCTTTTTAATCTAATCTTTCCTTCCTCATTCTCATTTTTGTTTGGAGTGCCTGGATTCTTTTCCTGTTTGAAGTATTTTGGAGTTCCCTCCTTTTTTCCAAGAGCACCCGATACATTTTTGGATCTACACTCTACAACACAGAGCAACCAGTTATCTGTTTTTTTACTTCATCATCAATGTTGTAAGGGGCATGCTTTCTTTGCTGTCATGCATAGTATTCTTAGTATTTACAAATGCTGACAAATTTTTGATAAAACTATGTCATAATAATTAAATAGCATAACCATGAACACACTTCTTTGTCATTGTTAAACCAGACAAGACTGTTTCTTTTCCAGGGAGAAGAAGGGAAGTGATCAAGGGCAAAATAGTGTTTCAAAGCAAAGAATACAGTAGCTTTGGTGCTATAGAGCTTGGTGACAGATTAAAATTTACTATAAACATATCTGCTGTCGTTACCAGGAGTGCTCTCTGGGTTGAAGATCTTTGAAAAAGCAGCCTAGATGAAGAGCCAAGACATGGCCCTTACTATAAGTTATTATATATGCGGAGATTTTTTTTTTTTATCATTGCAGAACACTTAAATTCCTACAAATAGGCTGGGGAAGTTTACCCAGCAAAATTATTTACAATAAAATAAATACTTTTAAATAAGGGGGATTAATGATTATAAACATTTCACTAATGATGAAAGCACAGAGGTGATTAAAAATCAAAAAAATTATAACGTCTCAGAGAGTGTTAGGGATGTCCGCTGGCTGGTAAGTGTGGGAGGACTTCCTGTTAGAGCTGCTCTGTGACAACAAAAAAATGTCCAATGAGTCATTGTAATGACAATGAGACACAGCAACATCTTCTTGGGAACTGTTTGTTACTTCTGAGGGGGAGGGGGTAGTGCAAAAAGGGGAAGGCATGTCAAATATATATATATATATATATATATTTTAAAGAACTGGACAGGGACTTTTTTTTTTTCATTTTTGGCTTTGGGTAGGGGCATACAAATTTAAGTGGTTGTTTTTTCTATTTATTTTTACTGAAAATTTTCAAAAGAAAATGTGGGCAGGTTTGAAAGTCATGTTTTCTTAAAAAATCATCTACATCATTTATCACAGCCACAAACTGTAAAAACAGAAAGTATTGTTGGATTCTTACATTTCCAACCATCCTTGGACACATCATGTGCAATGAACTTCTCTCAGAAAAAACATAACCTAATGTGAGTTTAAAATAGTGAGATTTCATCAAAATCTTAAATCTTAAAAAGTCTTAATTAAAAGCTGCCATGCACGACAAGAATAAAAAACCTAGGGTTTTTTTTTTGTAACTCAAGAACTTTGTCTTCAACTTTTAACTTTCAGACATCAATGGGTAGGTTTTAGAAATCTATTAATTAATTTATGGTGGAGGGAGAGTCATGCATTTCCTCCCAGTCACTCAGGGAAGCTCAAGGAAACATATTTGTAGCTTTGGTGAGGCTCAAAATGAAAAAAGAAAAAATTATGGTTAATTTTCTTTGATATTTTTATCAGAAATCCAATGATGATTGCTGGGTAATATGTCTGTTGATGCTGTCTAATGTCAAGACTCTGTGTCAAGACAATATGCACGATAGTGTGCGCTGGGGCCAGTTGTAACTTCCTTACACCACTGCTGGGATCAATTGAAAAGGCTTGGGGTATATTTTGATCTGTGCCATAAATCTGCCACTTGTTGTATTATTGAAGATAAATTGGCGTCTGAACATAAATAACTATTACGAAAAATTACGTGATTGTTTGATTAGGGATATGGAAAACACAATGCGAATAGGTAATTGAGAGGACTGTGAGTGACAGTGACACAGTAGTCTGAGGTAGTTGCAGAAGAACGGGCCTTTCATAGAACACAGTAGACATAAACTGTCACTTTCTACAACATCATTGTGCCTATGCACTTTGGCACTAGTAGCACTTTACTTGTCTCAATATGAATTGTAATTTTTCCGTAAAGTTTCTTTGAAGAGCTTTAAAGTAAAGTTAAATAAAAGTAAATAACGGCATCTAGATTAACAAACGTTATCTTATCACGCGACTCAACCGTCGTCTACCATGTGTATTGTGGAACATGCAGTTTCTATACCAGATTCGCTCATATGACAGACGTACAGCTCTTCTAAAATGCAACTACAAGTCCCATAGTTCAGCGCGGGGCAGAGCGTGATCATACGCGTGTACACAGACCATGGCGCTGTACAGCTCTGTGTGACAGGTTAGCGTCTGAAACAAACCTCCGGACAGGCCAACGCGTCTGCGCACTGTTTTCCGCTGCCGACAGCAACGGCGGGCTTACAACAAGGATGGGGTCCCGAATCAAGTAAGAATGATTATCCGGTGATTTAACGGAGACTAAGCAGTCTGCTGCTGTGTTAGCTTTGTTCCAGTGAGTCACAGAGGAAGGCACAGTATTGTACAAGGCCCTGACTTGTTGCAACACAGGCTAAAAACACTGCTGGTTGGCTAACGTTACTCCACAGGCTGAGTCGAAAAACAACGCTTTCGAGGGTCTCTTGCGGTTTTGGGGTCCACTAACGTTAGTCATTCACAACATCAGGAATGTTAGTGGAAAGCTTTGTAGACCGAGATGTCCAGCGGTGAACGAGGAACATGTTTGTGTATGGAAGATTACAGAGAGTGGAAACATGGTAACTGAGTCACATTTTCTTCCTCAACCGGATGCTAGTTTTGAGGACTAAAGCGAAGAACAGGAATGCTGGGCTTTGACAGTTAGCCTAATGACACTCCTCGGATATATTGCATAGATTGTGGGGCTATCTGCCATTAGCTTTGGGTAAACTATAGGATTGTAAATCACCAGTTTCATCACGACACGATTTTGATTCGATATGACTCAAGGGTCTGCGATCGATATAGGTGATATTAAATGCCCATTTACCACAGTCTGTTACAGAAGACGCTGCCACCTCTTTCTTTTTTATCTTTGGCCATAAAACACATAAACAACACATAGTAAGTACAGTAAATTTCACTTTAAACTGACTCCACCCACTAACACAAATAATACTGCAAATGGGATAATTAACCTTAAGGGCTTTCTGTCAGAGAGACCTTTCTGGAAGAAATCTTTTCATTTAACCCAAAATATGATCTTTTTCATAAAACTTTTCATAAAACGCTTATGACCTAACAGTCATTAAAGAAACTCTTACCTTTCTTGCATTTCACACAGCACTTAGAAAAAATTTGAACATCCACAACTCCCGCCTCCCTCCAAAGTCCCATCCTCCTCCTCCTGCAGCTCCACCTCCCTCCAACGGCCTACTCCCCCCTCCTCCATTACGTCCTCATTACATCTATGATAGATGTAGGCGTTGGCATGGTAACGTTAGATACACGGAAGAGGAGGGCGAGTGTAACGTTACAAATGCAACCCCGGAGTTGCATCAACCACCACTCAACCAGAGTCAGTGATGACTGATGAGTTTTAGAATAAGGTTACAGTGCTAACGTTAGATAGTAGCGTTAACGTTACTAGTAAGTGGAAACACACAGGGAAGATAACGTTAATGTTTCAGAGGCTACGCTACAGTGGGCTAACGTTAGCCATTAGCAACTGGGTGCTGTGTTGTCATATATAACATTATGAACTGAACTGAACTTCTTTGTCATTTTTATGCACAGCACAAAAAATGAACTGACATTTCAGTTACCCCAAGGAAAAAGAAACAAAACATTTAAAAACAATTTGTGCAACATATAAGAAAGACACATCACAGCACCATGAATTGTTTGTGTATACACCACGGAGCTTACCAGACGATGCTGCCTTCCTGTCTACTCTGTGTAGTGTTAGCCCGTTAGCTCAAAACCGGCGTCTTATATGTTACCATTCATCCATGTCTCAGTGAACACAAGGACGCAGCAGTCCCTCACTCCTCAGTTAGTGGATCTCCATAGTCAGATGTAATCCATTTTCATGTCCAGTGAGCGGACGTTCGCCAGAAGGCCGCTGGGAACAACTGGTTTGATGGGGTTAGCTGTTAGCATAGAGCTAACCCCTCCGCGCTCCCCCGCTCCTGCGTCCTGTCACAGCGCTGCCGGCATCTTCCCTTCGGGACAGCTCCAGGCGAAACCATGGTCATCTCAGGTTACTAGTTTATATCCACAAGTGTCCCTGTTACTACTTTATATCCACAAGCCTCCCTGTTACTAGTTTATATCCACAAGCCTCCCTGTTTCTAGCATATTTGTTGTCTCACAGATTCAGGGGTGGAGGCTGTGTGGGGGATGCTACGCGAGCGGTTAGGTCAGTCGGAGGCCTCCACGTGGGGAAGACAGACAGGACAGGAGAAAACTCCGACCAATCATTGCATTGGGTCCGGTGAGGCAAATTGTGATTTGTGATATTGGGCTTTATAAATAAAATAAAATTGATTGATTGATTGATTGATTAGCCTAGCGGCTAGCAGACATTTTTCCTCTCATCATAGCTTAACAGATTACATGTAACGGTTTTATTTTTATTACTCACCAGTGGTTAAAGTCACTCCATCTCCTGACAGAACAGCTTGGTTGAATTTCAGCCTTCATGTACGTTTCTCCAGCCGAACATTGTTAAAACAGAGCATCTAATGTTCCTGTAGTGAGAAGTTAGTGGAGTGAGACGCTCGTCCAGGCAGGTAACGTTACATTGTGTTTTATCTCCTAACAGCATTGTTTACGTACGCATGTGCTCTGTTGATCCTTATTTTCTCCGAAATCCAATAATTTCCACACTGCTGATTTATTCCTGAGTAAATAACGTTATCCTCATCATCTTTCTTTTGGCCGCTTGCCATCTGCCTGCCGCTGTTTGACAGTGACACAGACTTTCAAAATAAAAGCGTATCCCAAAGATGACAATATGGTTCGATCATTAAATCGCTATATCGATCCAGATCGATGGATCGTTACACCGCTGGTAAACTAGGACATTTTAGTCTTTGAGGGTGTTTTGGGAAATTACCCACTGAGTTATAATTTTAGGAAAATGAGTGTCACATCTGTACTATCAACATATCCCTGAATACAACCCAGGGAAGATTCTTTGGTCTTTATGAACTCAGCTACTTGGTTGAGCAGCATTAGGACAGTAATACTACAGAAGTGATGATGAAAGACATTTCTACACACTGCAGACAGTGACATGTTTTCAATCCAGCCTGTCAGCAGGCTGATGTGAGACTCTCCCAGCCTTTTATGGGACATGTTGATTATCATCAATGTGTTGTATCAGACCTTTTGTTGGTGGTCAAACAAGCCAACTTCTTATCCTTAAACATGTTATTGGATTAATCTGAGACGTCCTCAGACAAAATGTCACCTTGTGTGCTGCTGGCCTATGTTGACTAAGATTTTCTTCAGTCAACGGCAACCCTAAACAGGGCAGTACAGCAGCTACCATTGAGGACACAGAGGTCATGTCACCTCTGTTGTTTTGGGGATTTTGTAGGGATGCACGATATTGGATTTTTTGGCAATATCCAATATGTAACATCTCATTTGACAGATAACGGATACTCATACAGATATATCCGTTTTTTTCCCCACCTAATTTTAGTGATCATCAAGTCTCTTCTGTATTGGAATAAACATCACATTATGCATGCATATTCTTATCGTGATGGCCCAGCAGTAGATGGAGACATGAAATAGAATGCTTTTCAATGTAGGCTATGTAATATTCATTCATTGTGCAAAATAAGAAAAAGCATGTTGGCCAATTCTGATAGTTTATTGTAAAGCCAATATTGGCCGATACTGATGACTTGCCAGGGTCCGACGTTAAGGTTTTTTCCTACTTGCCCTGCCGGGCAAGTACTTCTCAAATCTACTTGCCCCATCTAAATTCTTACTTGCCCTGCCTAAGAGGTTCTTTTTCTGGCTGTGTGGTGCATATTTTTGCTCATGGCTTATATCTTATGTCAGCAGAGACGCTCAGTCAATGGAGGCAGCAGCACATAAAAAAAGCAGCACACTGCAACTGGCCCCTCCGAGGACAGAAACAGGAGAGGAAATACACGATTACAGGCCTGGAGTATTTTTAGGGCAAGGCCACTTTGGCCTTTGATAAATACAAATTTACTGGGGCATCATGGCCAAAATGTGGGGCACCAAGGCCAAAACCAATGGCGCAATAACAACATGTGCTAACTACATTTAATGAAGACAAAACAATATGTGTTGAAAAACAGTACTGAGTTTATTAAAACTGGGTGTGCATGACTGGGGATATATCTCGTTTCTTGTTGTTTTGATTAATGTCCCTTATTTTTTAAGTCTTTGAAATCTCTTTATTCTTTTGTTATATCCTAGTTATTAAGAAATTATTATTAGAATAAAATTCTTTATTGTCCTTTCTCAGCATATTACATACATTGAAATGAAATTTGACCTCTGCATTTGACCCATCCTACTGTATACACTAGGAGCAGTGGGCAGCCGCAGTGCAGCGTCCGGGGACCAAGTCCAGTTCTTTTGCCAATGCCAGTGGTCAGGGTCACTGACAGGAGTATTCGCCTAACATGGCCTACATATCTTTAATTATATAAGTATTTATATGTCCCCAATATTTAATTTGCCTTTAAAAAAATCCTCTTCCTTCATTTAATTTGACAATGTTTATTGTATTGTATTATATGTGTTAATTCTCTACAGGATCTTGTTCGTTCTTTAATGTGTGTTCAATTTATTAAAAGAAAAAAACAAAAAAAACTTTTGGTGAACCCTGCAGCAAAGTGAACCCTCTTCCTCAGAGAAGATCTTTGCCTCCCAGTTTGTTCCTGGCGGCATAGCACAGTGAACTGTCTTTCTTCTCAGAGGATCTTTGTCCCATGAGAGCAGGCAGCATGCTCTCCATGTCCGCGTTTAAAACAACTTTCGCTGGCGATCTGACAGTCACTAGAAGCACATTATAACCCTTTGTAAAACTTTCTGTGTGGTACCTGTGTTGTACATGAGCTAACGTTATCGGCTAAGGACTGAGAGGCTGTCCGGTATGTGTGTGTGTGTCCGAGTCGGTGCTGCTTGCCCGATCAGGCATGTCTGCGCAGGGTCTGCTGGCCCGCCAGCTATTTTTACTTGCCTCGGGCATTCGGGCAACCGTTAATGTCGGACCCTGCGTGCTGATTAGGCATGTGCTGGTTACCGGCGCCACGGTTTACCACGGTAAAAGAATGTCACGGTGTCACTAACCGCCCATTTTCCGTTCAGACGGTAAAGGCCGACGGTGTAACCTACGTTACGTTTCATAAATGGGAACTTCAGGAGCTCAAAACTCAGAAATAACTCTGTGCCAGTCGTACATTTTAACTGGCACACACTCTGAAATCATGCATGTGCAGCTGCTGCAGTCAGCACAATTATTGGGGTGCAGCCTCAGTCAGTCAATCAGTCATTACGTCAGTAATCAGTGTAAATTCACTCAGGTGCAAACTGCAGACATGGCTGGAGGAGGCGAAGCTGAACTTTTCTCACCGGCGAAAAGGACGAAGTCGGTGGTGTGGGACCATTTTGGCTATCAGAAGAACCCCAAGAGCCAAGGCAAAGACCCGCTCCTCCCGTGTTGGGCTCCAGTTCCCAGTCAGCCGTGTTCACAGGCTGCTGCGCAAAGGAAACTATGCGGAGCGTGTCGGTGCCGGTGCCCCCGTCTACCTGGCGGCTGTGCTGGAGCATCTGACCACTGAGATCCTGGAGTTGGCTGGAAACGCTGCCTGCGACAACAAGAAGACCCGTATCATCCCCCGTCACCGGCAGCTGGCTGTCCGCAACGACGAGGAGCGGCCTCATTCCGTGCATACGCAACGTCTGCCCTGCACTGAGCTCCCGTGTTGGTTGGCCATACCTGGCCTGGTAGCTAAGCTAACCAAAGCTAAGCTAACCAAAACAACAATGCCTGCTGTGGTCAGTGAGGACAAGATTCTGCTAAAAAAAAAAGCCAATAAAAAGATTGCTGACCTTAAGGATGATATCCGTCGACTTTCTCATGAGCTGAGGAAGAAGGACTCGCTGCTGTTCAGCTACATGGACGTGGCGGCTAGCCAATCCATAAAGTTGGCCTCGCTCAGCGTAGCCCTCCAGGACACCGTTGCATGGGACCCCTCCATCTGTCCACAGCCCTCCTCTTGTTCCACACCTAACCATGAGTCGCCCTGGACAGAAGTGGCGGTCGGCGGTCGGAAGAGGGACTCGAAAGGCGCTCCTCGCCTGAGTCTCTCCAACCGCTTCGCAGCCTTGTCTGCTGATAACAATCCGGTCCACCCAATTGATGTCCCCCCAGCAGCGGCGGCTCCTCCTCGTCAGGATCTGGACCTGAAACCACTGACTGCCTACACCGCAGATTTCCCTCCACTGCTGGCCGACAGTGCTCAGGTGACTGGATCCTCCGCCACGGAGCTTCAACGGCCCGCATCCCGGTCTGCTTCCTCCTCTGCCCAGCGTAGGATCCTGAGGGATGCTGTGCTCTGACGCTCCGGTGGCCTTCCTCGTCCAGAGCCAAAGGAGAAGGGGAATCCCTCTCCCGGGTCTCCCAGGTCTGCCAGCGCGTCCCCACCGCCGCACCAGCCTGCCCAGGCGCACAGTGTGGACCGTGCATCATCCAACCATGAGACCCCACAGTTTTCGTCTCCTCGTCCCCTCTTCCCCCCAACCACTTTAATAGTGGGAGATTCAATAACGAGGAATATCCAATTTTTTAATGCAGCCACACACTGCTTTCCTGGAGCCACAGTCCCGGTCATCCTGGAAAAACTCCCTGGACTGCTGCGCTCGCTCCCATCCTCCATAACCTGGGTCTTGATCCATGTGGGATGCAATGATGCATCTCGACAGCAGTCTGAGCTGACTAAAAAGGATTTTAATGCCCTTTTTAGATTCTTAAATGATACCGGAAAGTCTGTATTTATCAGTGGTCCTCTCCCAGTACACACCCTCGGAGCAGGGCGTTTTTCAAGACTCCTGTACCTCAACACCTGGTTACAGTCCACCTGCAAAGCTCTTAACTTTGGTTTTATTGACAATTTTAACCTGTTTTGGAACCGTCCCTCCTTTTACAAGCCTGACGGTGTCCACCCAAACAGGCTGGGCAGCCAGATGCTAACAGCAAACATTCGCCACGCTGTCCAGTATGCTCCACGCGACTGACTGTTTACCTGCCACACCCCCTCACCGGAGTCTACTTCTTCTACGCCAACAACACCAACTGCTCACAGCACTATTTCCCCCGCCACCACCCCCCACAGGCCCCAGCTATCACTGCCACTTCCACCGGTCATTTTCCCTATAGAGACCATTGCTCTGCCCCGCCGGTTGCGAGCCCGCAGAGGTGGTGTGGACCATGGGATCCTTCGCCCGCTGGCTCGTGTCTCAACTTCAGCCACTTCAGCCACTGAGGAGCTTACTCTCCGTATTGCCCTGATTAATGCTAGATCGCTAGCAAACAAGACTTTCTTGTTAAAAGACTTTTTCACCTCTCGTGATCTGGATTTTCTGCTCCTGACGGAGACTTGGCTTCAGGCTGGTGAGTGTACACCGTTCTCTGAACTCCTTCCTCCTGACTGTTTATTTCTCAGTTCCCCTCGGACCACCGGCAGAGGTGGAGGTCTAGCCTCTGTGTTCAAATCCAGCTTTGAGTGTCGTCAAATTCTATTTGACAATTATTCCAGTTTTGAGCTGCAACTGTTTGAGCTAAACCTGTCCCCTCCTGTCATGTTTGCAGTTGTATATCGTCCTCCTAAATTTAATAAGGACTTTATTAATGACTTTGCCGATTTTCTATCAGGGGTTACTGTGAAGTATGACCACTTTTTAATTTCTGGCGATTTTAATGTCCATGTGTGTTGTGAATCCAGACCTCTGGTCAGTGATTTTTCAAACCTCATCGCTTCTTTTAATCTCATTCAGTCTGTGACCAGCCCGACTCATGAGAAGGGTCACACCTTAGATCTTGTGCTATCACATGGATTATCTGTGAGTGTAAATGAGATATGTGAAACAGCATGTATTTCTGACCATCTGCCTGTTTTATTTACCGTTTCAATCCCCTGTTCGCGGACTGTAACCTGTGCTCCCTCACGCCGCCTGCGCATGTTGAACCCTCAAACTGCATCACAATTCTCTGCCATGTATGCCGACGTAAACACGTTTAGCACTCTGGATGTCAATCATGGTCTTAATGCTGAAGAGCTTTTATGTGTTTTTAATTTTACATGCACTGATATCCTGGACTCTGTTGCCCCTTTCAGATTTAAGCGCTCTAAAGCATTTTCTGAGCCATGGTTAAATGACTCCACACGTTCTCTCAGACGTTCATGTCGGCGTGCTGAGAGGAAGTGGAAAAAAGATAAGCTCCACGTCTCCAAAGAAGCTTTACGTGAATGTTTATCAGCCTACCAGTGACTCGTTAAAGCTGCCAAAATGGAGTATATATCAAATATTGTCTCCAATAACAGTCATAAGCCCCAGGTTCTGTTCAGCATTTTTAACTCCCTTGTAAACCCGTGCGATAACTCTCCAGTTGTGCCATCGCCCACGCTCTGTGAGAGCTTTCTTAAATTTTTTATTGAAAAAATTTCTGCCCTTAGGCCAGTTGCTTCCACTCTCACTGCCGCTGGTCCTGACCCCACTGTGCCTCCTTTACCTGCTGTCTTTGACCAGTTTGAGCCAGTATCTCTCTCCTCACTATCAGATATAGTTAAGCATCTGCGGCCGACTAACTGTCCCTCTGACAGCATTCCCTCTCGCCTCTTCAAAGATGTTTTTGGTACTGTGGGGTCCACTGTTCTTGCTGTCATAAATACCTGCCTTAGCTCAGGGTGTGTTCCAGCTGCTCTCAAACATGCTGTAGTGCAGCTCCTTATAAAAAAGAAAAACCTGGATCCCTCTCTCCTGTCAAACTACAGACCAATCTCCAAATTACCATTTTTGTCCAAGGTTTTGGAGAAAGTGGTCTTTACGATGATTCATTATGATTCATTCAAAAATTGTGTAAAAAGAGTTAACTGCTGTGGTGTTATGTTTTAATAAGGTTACCAATAAGTAAAAGATATTTAATAGTTGTCTATTTTTTCATTACTGTACTGAAAAAAACCGAACCGTGACTTGTGTAGCGAGGTACGTACCGAACCGTGATTTTTGTGTACCGTTACACCCCTACTGTCCATAATAATAACTATGTCAGGTAACAAACTGCGTGGCTTGGGCCGGACTTGTACTTAAAAATCAGAAAGTCTGTTGGGTTTGGGCCAGGCTCGGTTTTAACTGTCTCGGACTCGGGTCAGGTTCAGTCAGCAAAATGCGGCCCAAGCCCCACTCTAGTGTATAGCTGGTTCATATTGATCGCTAACGACAATTATCGATAATTTTTCAATAACCTATTTAAAATAAGGACCAGGAGAAAATAAATAAATTTTAACACATTTATTTTAAACTCAATTAGCTTTCTTCTGATTTCAATCAGTCATCATTCAAGGCATGCGGCGGAAAATGTAGTGTCAACACAACCATTAGAAAACACTTAAATAAATGAACATACACAAGATGGTATTAAAACTAAATGCTTTCAGGCAAACATATGAGCAGCTGAACAGAAGACTATGCATAACTGATTCACGTAATGAGGAAAGTGCTATGTAGAAATTAGTGCAAACCTGAGGTAGACTTGAAATGATATCCATGTAATGTAATCCATATTTCGCCCACTTGTTAGCGAAATAGTTAAGGAACCTCCATTAGTTGTGCAATTTAAATGTGATAAGTCTCATTGACTGACTGTCACCTGTGTGTATGCGGAGAAGGAGAGGGGCGGAGGGAGTGGAGCTGTGGAAACACCCTGCAGTCCGACATGTTTTTCCCCTGACAGAATACATTAACATTATCAAACGTTTTTTCTATCGACGGCGCCTAAGTGTTTATCGCGATACAATATGTTATCGTTTTATCGTCCACCACTAGTGTGTGTGCGTATGTGTGTGTGTGTGTGTGTGTGTAGGACGGAGCTCTGCCATATGCAATACCGAGAGCAGAGGAGAATTGTAAATGTGTGACCATGTAGAGACAGAAATGGCATGCTGTTGTTTAAATAACATAAATAACATAAGGCTATTTGGTTTTTTATTAAAGGGACAAGGTAAAGACCTGTTCTGCAGGAAAGGTAACCTTAAATGACTCCTGTTGTGATTTGGCGCTATATAGAAAATGAAGTTAAATAGAACTATCTTGACCTTCAAGAGGGGCAGGGGTTGCCGTTGGGGAGGCGGGGCGCCCCCTAATAATGGTAGGGGAAACACTATAGTATACAAGCACGGGACCGACTCCGCTACAATAGGTGAAGATATTCCCCTTTTCAGCTTGTTAGTATTAGACCTTTTTCCAGTTGTCCTATTACTTCACAGACCAAACAATCGACAAACAAGTTAGCTATGGCTAGCTAGTGGTAAACTGGTACCATGGGGGACATCTTTACAGCTCTGTACATTTCGTACGTGCTGTATGCTTTACTTTTTGTACAGATGAGATGTACAGATGCATAAGAAATTATGCGATAAGCGATAATATTGTAATATTGTGCTTTTAAGACCATTTTTATTATTGTTGTAATTTTGCAGTTTTTAGACCATTTTTTAAACTTAATTGGTAATAAAGACATATTGATGCAAGTACACCCTTTTAAAGAGAAATAAACATTTATTTAACAAGAATATTTAGGAATGCAAAAAAGAAAATTAAAATATCTGAAATAACACGTAAAAATGTTGAAATAAATAAATAAATACAAAAAAATAGACTCTCAATCTCTCTCTCTCAGGTGTGCAGTTAAGTTGGTCGTATTCGCTCTTTTTGTTGAGATGGTTTTAGATCAAACCTGGCATACCGGCCTATTACTGGGCTTCCCTCTGTCATTTGGTATAAATCCAAAATACTCCCACTCAGGAGCCATGGCATTTGGTTTTTGGTTCCATGTCTTTCTCTTACGCTCAACTGTTTTTTTTTTTTTTTCCTCCGCCTCATCTCCCCCTCACGAAACTCGCACCGTGTGTGTAGCCCATAGCCCCGCCTCCCCCACAGAGACAAAGACACTCGATGACAAGAGCTTTCCCTCCGTTCATTACGCTAATGAACCAACTCACCTGGCTGCCAGACGATGCACGGCAGTGAACCCCACCCCACTCTGTTCCCAACTGGCTAGCAAATTCACAACCAATTAAGGTCAGCTGACAACGGCCAGAGAAGGAGAGGGACACACCCAGAGAGAGACAGAGACAAAGCAAGAGAGAGTAAATTAGGAAATAATGGCATGCCCCTTCATCGAGGATCCTGTTGATGAGGAGGCCCACATTGCTCAGAGGGCCTTCCAACCACCACCAGCCCCAAGGGTCTTCCAGGACAGGACCAGCCCATTGATACAGACAGACTCCTATCTGTGGGAGAGGTACCAGTTCAGCAGGCAGAGCATAGTGTATCTATGCAGTTTGCTGGAACCACACACTATAAAGGTCACACGCTGCAGCCAGTCTCTGACCACTGTGCAGTCAGTCTGTACTGCACTGAGGTTCTTTGCTAGCGGTACATTCCTGTATAGTGTTGGTGATACTGAGAGGCTAAGTAAGGCAACTGTTTGCAGAGAGGTAAAAAAGGTGTATTTTCTA